ATTTATCGATGGTACTCACATTTATAATGAAATTCTTGTTCATATGCCACGACTTGGTACATTTTATTTTTGTATTAGCACTGATACGCATATGGATCGTTTAGTTCGTCATTTATCTAAAGATGATATTCAAGGAACTTTTACTAACATAATATTTAAACAAGTGGATTGTATTATTAATTACAGATATCGTAGTGCCATATGTCATGTCTTTTCATTACCATTCATATTTGATTCTCTCGAATATATTGGTAATAAATTTCCAACTATTATATTCAAATATGTTAAAATTTTGGCGGTGCACGATGAAGTTCCATTCAAACATGAATTTTTCATTCGAATTGCTTGGTCATTTCCTTTACTTAAACAATTATCTGTTATTAATCTTAAACCACAATCATCCATATTTGATCAATTGACCTCTAATGATAATCAATTGTATTCAATTGTTGAATATCCTTATCTTACTTTGCTTCGTCTTGAGGCTGTTCATATTGATTATGTTGAACAGTTTCTCAATTATACAAAAACACATCTACCTCGTCTAACGAAATTAGCAGTCGATTATGATCAATTAACAATTGTTACAGAAAATTTTACAAGAGATACAACACGGCTCAATTGTATCAATGTGAAACAATTAAATATCAATAAAACATTAGTACACTCAAAAGATTTCTATGTTTATTTTCCTTTCTTGTAAATCTTTCTTTTTTTTCTGAATAAGTTAATAAAAATGAACAATAAAACGATTAAAAGTATTTTTGCAATCGAAGGTGTGGGTGGACTGTGAATGTGAATGTGAGTGTAGGTATGGATAAAGAGAAGTGAACACTCATCCACACCCACCACCCACATATCACACCCTGCAATGCACATATAAAATATTCTAATCAAATGTATCCGTCGACCATGATACATGTATACATCTCATTCTATCTATAGAAAAAACATATTCATTCTTTTGTTTGATTTAAAAAAAGAGTTGTCAAGTGCTGAACCACATAGCCTTGAATGGCAAAGAAGAATTTTATTTCTGTGAACATTAATCTTTATGTTTCTTAATATCTCATTTTTCTAATGTGACACACAAATTATCCATTGTAAAATGTTTTGCATCACAACACCACTCGCAGATCGAGTTGAAATTTACGGTATCGACACCAGACCAGTTGAGTTTAATAAAAGTTCTACTTTGTGTAAATAATGATACTGATTTCGTATACAAAGTGGTACCGTCTCTTGTACCAGTTATTTCCAATGTAATATTATCATACCAAGCTGCGCATGAATAAAATGAATTTATTGTGAATATATTTGTAGCTGCATTTGTGATAGTCATAGGACTACCCCATCCATCAAAGGCAAGATATGGAGGGCTAATAACACCAGTTCTATAGCCACTGGTAGGATTACTAGTATTTAAACCATTCAAAACCAGAACATTTTCCCAATTCAAACCATCGTAGCCATGCGGTACTGGAACTCCTGATGTGTTCGTTATATTTGTTATCTCATCAAAAGTTATTAATGATGACGGTTCTGAACAGGCTACAAATTAACGTGAAAATATTTAATTTTTTTATAATGGGAAAGTTATCTATAGGCTATTCTGACTAGCATCAAAGTATACTTTTCACATGTAGAACAAAGGAAACATGCAAAAAATTTCGTAAATATATTAATATTGAAATAAATAAAATTCGTTTGAATATCTAGTTAAATGTCTCATCAATTGATTGAAAGCAGCTGTACCCCATGAGTCCAAAATAGAAAAGATCCGATTTTTAATCAATTTTATTCTTATTTTTCGAAAAAATGAGTATAGCAGAACTCATACCAATTTTCAAATAATATTTTTCAATGAGATATTGATAATGATGCTTCGTTGATGAAATAAAACAAATAATATTTTACGATCGATCCTTACTCGACTTTATACCCCAAGGCAATCTGGTGCTAAAAGCCGAGATGAATAGAGCAGCAATGATAACAATGGCAAACATAATTGTTTTTGTTGAATTACGAGTGGTATCAAGCATTGAAGGACCGCTTAAATAATCCTATTTTACTCGTCACTGAGAGCTGA